AATGATTCCACTGATTTTTGTAAAATTTACATGAATATACTTAAATTGAATATAAATCTAAACTTATTTTAAATATTTTGCTTCCTAGATTAAGAGAAATGACTCTGAATATTCGAATTAGCTTAAATTGTTCTTTTTATCTATTAACACGTGTGATGATGTCTGGTTATCGAGTTGGTTATACTTCAGTGTTTTACGCTACGGGTATGAGGTTCATATCTCGCCCGTTAAAATATTTCTTCGCATTTTTTCTTTATTCTTTTTGAGTTTTTCAAAAAAATTTCAAATTTGTTTAGTTTTTTTCTCATTTAGATTGAATAACTTCAATCAATATCAAGAACCCCATCACTGTAGTTTTCCTTTGTAAGAAAGTATTTCTTATTCATATTAAAATCAATTTACTATGTGGTATTTCTTTTATGTCCGTCATTAATTTTTTTCAGCTCTCACTGGACTAACATTTTCAACAATACGTCAAATGATCACAACTAGCATCTAGTTAATTATATTCAAAAATTGAAATAATTTCCCCTTTATTACATAAAAATTTGCTTAACTAAGTTTCTACATATAGAAAATAAAAATTATTCATTTCTCATGTTTTTAATGTATTTATTGTTGAATGAGGTTTAATATGATAATAGATTTCACTTACAATGTTTATTAATTTAAATTTGTTATTTATTAATTTATTAATTCTGTGATCCAATACCAGTATTTAATATTCCAAATTTTTTGGTAACTTATTACTGTATAAATCATTTCTAAAAAAATAATTTTAGGTTTCACATATATTTAACAATGGATTTTTACAATACGCTATATAGAGTAGATTTTTTTAACAACTCTATGATTATTTTTTTTTTTATCTATCCATAAAAAAATTAATTGCAGATTTAAAATCAGTTCGAAAAAATGATCAATAAAAGTATTTTTTTGACTCTGATGAAAATTCCTTGTAGACCATTTATTCATAATTAACAATTATCATCTAAAACGTTTTGTATCAACCCCTTTAATTTCTATACGCGTTTGCCATAAAAGTAACAATTACTTAATAATTTTTCCGTAAAAATTACAACACTAAAATATTAAATACCAATTTAATACTATATTTAATTTTTATAATAAACATTTATTTATATGCTATACATATAAATCATAGAACTACTAATTAGGAATATTTAAGGAAATAGGAATTAATTTTGTTTTTGTTATAATTCACCAGTTTCCTAAAATTAAACACTATCTACATATTTAACACCGATGTGTATTTTATGATAGTGATTTTAATCACTATCAAATCTCTATACTTGTCCCAACTATGCCACATTATCACTGTAACGTGACTCCACTGCGCTATTTTTTTTTAATTAATCTTAAACTAAAAAAAATAAAAATAATATACTTAAAAACGTTTTTTAATTTTTAATTTTTAATTTTTCACGAGTGATCAATTCTTATTATATTTAAAAAGATTTTTTTTTTCTTCAGAACATTTGGTAAAGGAATAAATAAATATAATTGTATAAAAATATTTTGAACTTATGTGTATATCAAATTATTAGAAATGTTTTTTTCTTTCATTACTTAATTATCAATTAACAATTTTATTAAATGCAATCTAAATACGCTTTAAAATTATTTATTATAAATGATTGGCTTCATATTTTCAAAATTTCTGTAACTGATAATATTTTATTTTATTACTGTATTCATTGAAAATATTAAGTTGTTGCTACTCATTTAAAAAACAGTCCAATTTACTAACTCTGTAAGAGAAAGTATGTGTTTTGAATTTTGTTAAAATGTTTTACTTGTATTACTCAAAAAATGTTATTATTATTATTAAACATTACACAAACAAAAATTAGTTTCTTCTCCAAATATTTTATCAATTTTCTTATAATATTATATTGTTAGTCGATATAGTTAATATTTTCATTCTTTAATCATCTTTAACATATTTTTGCTCGAATGGAAAATTATTACATTAACTCATGGAAATTATTAGTAAAATATTGTAATATATTAGTGATATCGAATGAAATACCAATGTAAACATAATAAGTTACATAATATAAAGTATAGTTTAATATGTATTTTTAATTATTGTCTTTAAATTTTGATTTGATTACTAATCAAGAAGTTATTTAATACTATATACGTCCAAGTAGATTCAACCATCGATAGATACTCTCGATAGAAATCCATAGAAACTTATGTTAATCATGGTCTTAATATTATTTTTGGGGAGTGTTGGGTGACAGGTCCTATCAATGTTATTATACATATTTTCGAAGCATAATTAAGAATTTTTTTATTTATTAGAAATACAATTGTGTTTAATATTACTGTACTTTTAATCTTTATACATTTAAGAGGATTTTTAAGATTAATTTCTTGTGTTCAAAACACTATTACGACGGAGGAGACGCTGTAACAATAGCATACAATTCTTCAGTAAGGAGGATTTGGTTTCATTGTACTTGCTGATATTCACCAAACAACTTGCTATAAGTAGCTAGTGGTTACAACCTTTTAGTAATACAAAATATTTTTCTGCATTGACTTAAGCTGTTCTTTAGATAGCTAGGAAGAATTTGTTTAAGTGTTAAATATGTTTTGTTGATTAGAAATTGAAAAAACTGAAAATTTATTTTATTGTATTCAAATAATAAGAATTTAATGGCGCACCTTTAGAGTTAAGCAAATATACCGTGTTTAACTTAGAAGTCAAGTCATTGAGGTTTTGGTTTATACGTATTTCGTGAAAAATAGACCTAACACTTAAAAAAAAGCAGTATGCTACTTGTGCTAAGCAAAAAGGTAGTAACTGTCCATGATCATACGATCATTTTACTTTGTGCAATTTAATATACATCTTTTTTGTTTATTTACTTTGGGTTGGTAAAGCAGTTTCGCGAAAATTATCATATATTAATTCTTTGATAAAAAATATTGGCAAGTCTCTAGGTAAATCAATACACCAAATTAGCATTAATACAACTATTCAATTTTTACAAACCGCATAGTTGTATCAATACTTTAATTATAATCAAAAACTATGAAACATTTTTGATGAATATGTGTATACTACTTTTTTTTTAGATAACAAATGATTTAGATTAGTGATAATACCGAGTAAAAATAACGTATATGGATTTTCGGTAGGAAGAGTCGTCTAATAATCTCTTCAGCGGTTTTATTAGATTCTAAAATGAAAAACATATAATTACTGTAGACTGTAAATCAATCGATTATAGTCGATTGAAATAGTTAAAATTAGATAAATTTTATAAAAAGAATACCAACAAATTAAAAAATAATTCATTTTTCTTTTGATGGATTCTCAAAATTAAATATTTTTCATTATATCTATAATGATCTATAAATTAGATAGTTCAACAAAGAACGATAAAAATATTTCAAAAATTGTCTTCTAACAGTTGTTGAACGTTTGCCATTGATTTATTCGTTTAGCTCTTTGCCGTCTACTTTCTTGTTACGAGTAGTAATTGCTTTTTTTTTTCCTAATAGGACGCAATCTCAGACACTGTTTATTGCTCTGTAATATCCCGTCTCTGAAATACGCGTTTCTGTATCCCTCGAGAGATTACACAGTTTAGGTGAAAAAACAAGACCGTTTTCATTCATTTCGACAAATAAGAAAAAGAAAATTATTTGCAATTCTTAGTATCATTTTGTTGTATTTTATTTCTCAATTTTTAAAAATTCAACATATGTTCATTTATTAAATTTCTTTTAGTTTATTTAAAAATTCTTTTGCCATTTCATATAATTTAATTCATAAAATAACTATTTTACAGTAATATAAAGAAAGTTATTTGAATAATTTTTTTTTTAAATAATAAACACTACCACAAGTTAGACAGAACAATATTCATATTTTATATTGACAATTTAATTATTCAATAGTTATGGGGCAGTATCAATCATGTTTAATCGTTTACTGAAAGTATAAGTATCAACACCGATGGCATTTTCGTCAACTATAAAAACAATACTAACTCGTCATAATTTCATTATAGTTGAATTATTTATTTAAAAATAAATATTTAAATATAAATTATATTTCCTTTGAGCATTAAAGGGCATAAATAAAATATTTGTATAAAATATCTAAATTTATAAGTTAGTTTTTCATTTGTTAAAGACTATGATTTTTTTTTCAATAATTAAGTTGGTTTATGCCAGCCAATTTTGAATATTAGACTGGTGTATTCTGGAGAATTATTAAAGATAGTGGTTTTCCTCTTACATTCTGTACTAGGGCACATAGTATTTGCCACCGTTAAAATTGACGTGTATAGCCCATCCGATGACTAACAGCAAACTTTAAATATAGAGTATTTGAATAAATTTAATACATTTTTTTAAGAAATGCTAATAGTCAATGATTTTAAAGTATCTTTAAAATATTTTTAATTAAACCATATAAGTGTAATAATTATCTTAATAACGCTACTAAAAATGTCTTCTTTATTTTTTCAAAATATTCATATAAAACATTTTAAACTGATAAAAATTAATGAACTGTATTTTACCCATGGTAATTTTACTTATCACATGCTATTAGCGATAACATCTAGTAATTCACTTTTCTCCATCGCATTCTAAGAAACATTTATTGTAGATTACACCCTTTTCCCACTAAATGTTCCATTTATCTGCTTGGAATTCGCGTTCAAATGAAAAGAAATGGTAGTTGAAAAATTCGGTGACAAACAAACCACTAGCTATTTTTGTATACAAACAATTCTCAAGAAAACTTCTTTTACGATAAACATAATGCATGTCAACAGTTTCCAGATCTAGCTTTATTAAGTTATCTATAAATCAATACTGAACAATTATTATACGTTTTAGTTTAATGCGAAATTGAGAAAACTTTAATTTTATAATGATATGTTTATTTTTAATAATGTTAGTTATATTCTGATTTTTTTCTGTTATGAATAACATTTTACTAATTTTAGGGTTTTTAAATCTCAATTCGAACCAACACCTTAAATCACCATCTAACTACGGCCTAATGGATCAAATAGCGGCCTTGCATTGGATACAAGAAAATATTGCGGTTTTTGGCGGTGATCCGACAAACGTTACTTTAATGGGTCACGGAACGGGAGCATCTTGTGTCGGTTTCTTAATGACATCTTCAGCAGTACCCGATGGTAAGTGATTCTATAACTTTTTAAAGAAAAATTTATAAGTTAAAATTAATAAAATACATTCATTATAAAATTGAGATGATTTTTATACCACGAATATCAATAAAGTCAAAAAGTCATATAATAATGAAAGTATATTTTTTCTAATGAAAATAGTGCTGTGATTGATAAATACATTCATATACTTGTGTTTATAATAATCACAGCATATTATTGATAACACATTGAATGTTATTGAATTAGAAGTTAAAACTTTAGAAAAAATTGAACAGCATTTATTTTTTAAATGTGATAGAAAATTTATCCATTAATCAATAATAAATGACTATATTTTGAATAAAATAACGCCAATAATTATTACACGGATGAAAAATAAATTTTATAGTTTATGATTGAAATACATGACATCTTATGTTTTAAGTATACAGAATGTTTTACTTTATCATATATCACTTAACTAATCGCAAAATATGAAAAAATATTGATAGATAATTTTTTAATTGATTTATTTTTAATTTCCATGTAAATTTATCAACCATGAAGTATTTTTTGTTTAACCTTAATTTATAATGGTGCCAGTTTTCAAATGGCAACATACATCATTAACTAGTTTATTTATTAGATAATGATTTAATTTAGAAAATGACTGGTCAATAATAACTTATCAATATTATAGAAGTTATTAATATTTTTATACATTTACGGGAGGAGTAGTGCGGTTTATTATATCTAGAGGTAAAAAATAAACAAACTCGTGCTTCATCTCCAGTCTTTACTATAAATTTCATATAATATATGAAATATATATAGCCGCCTCTATTCTCATTATAAGAAAAGAGTTGTATAACTTCGGTTTGATTTCAATCCATCCTGTGTAACACAAAAACATCAGTAAAACAAAGGATTAATAGAATGACTTAAAAGAACGGCCATGAACAGCATACCAATATATTGCAACAATAATTAATTTTTTTGAATTTAAGCTGGAAGAACGCTTTTATCGGATCGTTTATTACTACTCTTCCCCCTTTTTCTGATACACTCTCAGCTATTCACTACTAACTTTTGTGAAATAAACTCTCCTATAAAGACATAAAGGTTTAGCCTTTCTCGGGCCAAGACGGTGTGATATGAATTCGTAAGCACTGCCGAAGTGAATAGGGTCGATCCAGTCCAACCGACCGTAAAATGCCGGTTCAGATTTATTGTTGGTAGCCATGTAGTTGGCTATTGTTTTTCTAGAACTCTTCCTGTTCCCATATATTTTTTCACATCATTGTTTCTAGTAAATGTACGACCAAATCAAACCTAAAAGTTAACAATGCTTCATTTTCTATTTATTTGCCAATTTCATATTACATTTTAATTCAATATTTTTTCATCACGTTAAATTGTACGTTTTATTTCAAATTTTTTTCAACGCATATTAGGCTTAAATTTGATGTAATTTATAATTTTTCGTTGATGTATTAAACAATAAAACATCAAAATTCTAAATTTTCGAATCAAAACTTCTTGAAACATTAATAATATAATACTGTACCTTAAATAGGAAATATCGCTTCAACTACGAATATTAAGATTACTCTGTTGTTTATTTTCAAAGCTGATAAGTCCCAAAAAAGGTATAATAAAAATTGATCAATTCTGGCTAATATTATTTAAAATTAAAACTATATTTAAAATATTATTAATTTAAAACTAACAAATATTAAACTCAAAAAACCACAAAAAAATTACTAAAAAATTGCGGATATGTATTGTGGGAACAATGTTACCATTATCAACGCTAAATACATACTGACACTGCGACCTGAAAATATACCCCCTTATATACCCTTAGTAACGTTATCACCTAGAGACGTTATCACTAAGTAATATTATCACTTTTGCGAGTGTACTCAAATTTAATAATACATTTTTCAGTTGGCCAAGATCCCAAAATAGATTTTGAAATTTATGGCCACATTTTAAATTGTGGATAATTTTGGTGCACCATAAAAATGTTTCCATGCTCCACTCGGAATATTTGTAAATATTTTTATGGGTAGTATATATAAATAAGTATAGAGTGATTTAATAAGAATAAGACACTTATTTTCTTATAAAATTATTTCTTATTATCGTTAAGGGAAAAATTATTTATTCGAAAAAATCTACAATCATATATAATTAAATAATTTTTTTTTCATCCTTTCAAATATAAGAAACATAAGCTTTAATTTTTTTAAATAGGAATTCCTATTTTTAGTTTAATGACACAAATAGTTAAATGATTAAAAATATAATTATCAACAACACTTTTTATAAAAATGATAATTTGAGTGTCATATCAAATGATATAATGAATAAATATATGAGGTATCAAAGTAACCCCTCGTGCAGTTCTACTTGGATAGGTACATTTAACATTTAACCAATTTTTTATTATTCCTTTTTGAGATATTAGTATTTGATGAGTTAGGAAAAGTGAGGAATAGCGTAGTGTTTAGCGACATTTTTTACCATAATGCACATATAAAAATTCCTACATTGCGCATCCGTTATCGATTTAAAAAGTAATAATACAATACTGGATTTCGACCTGTTAAACATTTTAATTAGACCATTTTCCATTCAATAGTAAAAAAAACTCAACACAATGACAAGGTGGTACAGTGGGGACATACCATGATATTTGACAGTAATTTTAATCACTGAAAAAAAAAAAATTTCAATTCATATTTGTAGATAGTGTTTAATTTTAAGAAGCAATTATTATTATTCCAAAAGCAACATAAACTCCTATTTCATTAATTATATTCTGATTGCAAGTTTTATGATTTCTAATACAATAATAATTACTTATTATTGTAATTAAATTTAGTAAGAAATTTATATTTAATAATTAGTATCATATATTTTTTGATTTATCAATTATATTTTTTAATTCATCCTTTCTACCTTATAAGGGTGACAACATATATATTTAAATAGCTCATAAAATTAAATATTATCAAATTAATAAAATTATTATTTGAAAAAAATTTTTGAAATAGCGCTTCAAAAGAAATAAAATTTTTAAACGTGAATTTAAGCGTGGCAGATTAATGCATAGTGATAAAAATAACATAAACTACACTTCACCACTACTCTATATTTTAAAAAGACTTATAACTTCCAATATAATAGGTCCAAAGTAGTTATCGAACAATGATTTAAATAAATTATTTATTATTTTATGTTATTTTATTAGTTATTTATGTATATTGTCAATTAAATGTATATATAACAATAAATAATACTCAAAAGGATTTACTTAATAAAATTATTACTTAAAGGCAAAGGAAGTGATTAAAAGCTATTCTCGGGTGGCTATTGAAAGAATACTCTGTATTTTCTTTAGCTCAATTTATCATTAGACATTAGCTAGAACATTTATTTTAGAAAGAACAGCTCTCTTTATTTAATATACGTATTTTATTGACATTAAAAATTACAAATATACTTACTGAATATATTTATACTTAACACTTCAAATCATTTTAGCTTCGATGTAAGCTGAGAAGGTATTAATCTTACTATGTTTTTTTTTTATTTATTAATATTTTTTGTGTTTGTTACCACTTATTCTCAGCTCTCACTGAACCGATTTTGATGACTAATATGTCAAAAGATCACAAATTGTATCTAGTCATAGATATTATCCTCAAAAAAATTCTCTCGTTTCCCATAAATGGGGGAAATCCCTAAATAAATTACAATTTTAAAAATGGCTAATTTTTTTAATTTTTTTTACTTAAACTGCCATAACTTTTTTAAAAATAAAAAAAATTGACATAATTTTTTTTATAAATACATTATGTATATACCTATAATTTGGAACATATTTTTTAAAAATCTGATTCTTCCCTTGCGCACAAAAGAGATTTCAAAATGACAACTATTTTACAAAAAAATAACTTTTTAGAATTTAATTAAAAGATTTTGAAATGATCTATCAACATTTAAAGATTTCATAAAACATTCTAATAATGAACTTATATTTTATTACCTTATAGGTTAAAATAATATAAAAATTATTCTTAAAAACAACTGAAGCACAATTGAATCAAGATTTAAAAGTGGGCTATTCCACTTTCTTAAGTATATTTACTTGATACCTTTACAATGAAGAACATATCACATTTAAAATGTAGCTTACGCATTTTGGTTTGGTTTTAAGATAAATTTAATTTAAATTAACCGACAATGTTAACATTTGTGTGCAGCATAAGTTTAATTCGATCTGTAGTGATATATAATCTTCAGTAAATAAGGTTTTATAATTATTCTTTTGAATAGAATGGCATGGACTATGATTTACTTGGTTGAATTGGAAGAATACTAGATAGGGTTTATTGTGTTAGCAATTGATTGGTATGTCTACTGTCATCGTCACCACTGTGACTATAACAAATCTCATTTGATGATCTAGTCACCTGTCAGCACTTATGCTAAAAGATACGTGTAAGGATTGTCCATTTAATCGAAACAGTTCTTGTTCAAAATACTGCACCGTAATAAAAAGGCACGTACAACTAAGCAGTAAGATTTAATTTAATACAACAAGGAAGCTTTGACACCAGACTTACTTTTATTGTCCAATTAAATGTAATCTAAGCATAATTTGTATAATAGACAAAAGAAAGATAAGATTAAATGAAGGTTAATACACTGTTATTAGATGGGTTCGATTAAAAGTGATCATCTATTTAACCTGACAAAAACATGAATTAATATAAATTTAATAGAATTACGGTTACAGAATACAATGGACAAAATAAAGCAGGGAAAATATTTTTAAAAGGAGGGTAACCACAGTTTTTAATTTGTATGCGAGGTAGAATTGCATATTTTAAAATTAGTAATCCTAAAAAACTCTAATAACCCACGAGCATCCATTTATAATTAAACTTTAAATGAGAGTTAATGCTTAAAGATAAAATGAGTTAATATAAACTTCGAAAATAGTTTATTCTTTG